TTCTTAGAGTTTAGCCATGTCCTTCCGAAGGGAAGTTATTTGGGCCAGAAGCTCTGCTTCAGCTGTGAGCTGCATAATGGGTGAATTGCCGAACGAAGTACTCAGGGGCAGCGCTGGGCTAGCTCCACTCTGCCTACCGAACGATAATCCGTCTTCTAACAATAACGTTGGTACTGAAGTGGTCCTCATGTGTTCTGGAGAAAATGGGTCGATTTTGTTCGTTTCCCACAGACGACGCCAAACTGTTGACGCTCAAAAATGGTTCGGCAGTTTTTAAGGCCAACTTAGTGATGTTGGGCCTTCGGTATGCCTTTGGGCCTCAGTAAAGCACGTGATCTGTAAAATAACACACGCTCAGTAAGTCCTTAGGCACCTATGTGGTACCGGCCGAAGGCTCTTCGATGCTTAAGTAAGTACGGAGTTGGTAAGATTAAACTGACATATCAATAGACAGTATGCCGTAAGTTCTGATTACCTCCATTTTGGGGAATTGTACTCCTTTAATAAGCCTTAGGAGGTGTGCTAGTTGAGTAGATTTTAAATGTGGGACTGTAGACATCGATTGTGGGCCTGCCACATGTCGTGGAGAATGAGGTGGCCCTAATTGATGAATCGGTAGGCCGGGTGCCGAGGGCTACCATGGTCAGGCTCAATCCTGTCCACGTGTCTGGTTCTCATAGGCTGTTCGTTTTGGTATAAATAGTAAAAATCAACAATTGTCTGACAAACTACAGGCCAATGAAGAACCCCATTAACAAAAGCACTGGATGCAGCTTTATCTACTAGACATGCAGGAAAAACACAACCAAGGGTGCTCATGTGTCGGTGGCTAGGGAATAAACCTCAGCTAGAGTTGTCGTCTCATCTTCATCCAATAAAGTCACAACTCGCACAACCTTATAGTCATTGGTTGTAGCATCAAAACCGAACCCAATAAAAGCATCGTACCTACCATGCTGTTGACGTGAGTCTCCTAATTAATCAATGAGATTTACTTCCTTGATTAATTAAGGGATTTACTTTCCTATTTTTTATATAAGTGATAAATCATTGTACAATTAGGAGACACTTTCCTAATTCTTTACTATATCTAATTCCTTGTAAAACCCTCATATGTAAACTCCTATATATACCTCCTTATGGAAAATAATAAAAAAAACCTAATACATTCAAACCATATTCATATTTTAGCATGGTATCAGAGCCAGGTTCTCTTGTGACCTATGCTTGCATTTTTCATGAAATTTAAGTGCTCTCCTCCCCTCCTCTTCAAGGGAGGGAGGGGGAGTGAAAATGATATGTTTATTGACGTATCCCCATTACCTTGATGTATTCCCATGAAGATACTACATATCTCTTTATTCTAACGACCCCTTCTCTTCAAGGGGAGAAGGGGAGTGAAGAGAAGTTGTTTTGTCTCTAAACCCTTATCTCAAATTTCTCATATTCAAATCCAAAACCCTAAATCAAATTCCTTATATTTTTTTCCCCAAATCCAAATCCCTCAAATCTAAAGTCCTCAAATCCTCTTATCCAAATCCCTCAACACATACCATCAAATCTTATACACATACCTCTTAAATCCAATCCCTACATCAAATTCATACATCAAATTTCTCACATCACCTTCCCCACCTTCTCATATCACATTTTACTTCCGCTGCGATGTCAAGAACCCATACGATTCTCCATCTTGTTGCAGACTCACAGAAGCATGCGATCAATCCTGCTGACCTGGCTACCCAGACTCCTTCTTCTATCACCACCACCAAAGGTTCTACTCTTCATATGTCCTCCAAGATCAGATATTGCATATGTGTGAGTATGGAAGAGTATTTCATGACTCACTTACCAAGTTGGGCATTCGTGATATATATGCACCAACTTGAGGAGGAGTGTTGACGTAAGTCTCCTAATTAATCAAGGAGATTTACTTCCTTGATTAATTAAGGGATTTACTTTCCTATTTTTTATCTAAGTGATAAATCATTGTACAATTAGGAGATACTTTCCTAATTCTTTACTATATCTAATTCCTTGTAAAACCCTCATATGTAAACTCCTATATATACCCGTTCCAAACTTCCATATAATGAAGTTGTAAGCATAAGAGGGGATATCATCCGCAAAACAAACTAGCCCATCACAAGTGCCAAGCCAACCACTCAAACATGTGAATTGCCATAGTTTTTCTTTGCGGCAATTGGAAATTCAAACTTGGAGTACACATCAAACGCCTGGTTATCATGATGCACAGAGTGAACCTCGTCTTCTACCTTGTGAATGACCGTGTTTTGGTAGTAGTTGAGGCTGCTGCCAGAAATTCTGTGGAGTAGGAGGAGGTGAACATCATTCTGGTTAGCAAAGTCCACAGTTATGCTATGGGCGCAGATGAAGCTTTTGTTCATGATCATGGACCTCCATGTCTTGCAGACTGAAGTGCATTTGATCATAGATTTAACAGGTATAGCCTAATTACGATCTATTGTATAAATTCCTCAGGATAAGAGCGTGTCATTACTTCAAATTTCAATTCCTGTATCCCTTGTGTGATATCTTGTATGTTATCCATTTCGTACCCAAATGGCTTGTAGGGAAGATAAAATAAAACGACCATTTCAAGCTGCAAAAGCTTCCCCCTTTTTATTGGGGTCAAACTGCAAAAGATTTCCCGGAAACAATTTTGTGCGGAAATTCCATTTTATCTCCATAATTTTGCTAATTTCTACTTTGACCCCTTCATTTTTCCATTATTATTTGCCACCTTTGTCTTGGATCGCTGGGTTTCTAAAATGCAAATTTATCTTCAAAGGCCCAATCGGTTCTTTTCCTCCGCAGGCCCATTCGTTAGTTTATTCCAATTCTCATTAATACCAACAAACTAAATTGTATTTTTATTTTATTTGACAAAACAATATTTTAAGCTATTCTAATATACAGGGAGGAGAGGCGACTGAACTTAATTTATTTCTTGATAACTTAATCTTTCTTCAATAGTTCAAATTACTTGGTTAACTTTAACATACATTTTGGGCCTAAGCCCAATTCTCTTTTCTTTTGCCTGAGCCCAATTCTCTTTTCATTTTCATTTTTTTAACATTGTTAGCCCAATTACAACGCAACAACTGCACAACTTGTCCCATACTTAAATCATTTTTTAGGGTACGAAATCATCCTAATGTTTAACATGTCATAAAACTTCAAATTTCATAACTAATATAGCTCAATTCAAATATCTATATATAGTTATTGTCAGTGGCGGATCCAGGATCTCTAATTGCAGGGGTCAACATCTAAAAGGTAAAAAAATTCTATACAAATTAGAACAAAAAAAATATGAAACGATAATATTATAATTCTTAATTAATAGAAAAAACCACATTACAATAACCATCCGAAAAGTCAGAATGAATCAGAGAGGCTGTGGCAAATGATGCTTTTGATGGCATTGCATTGCTTGGACCAAAGAGAGCTCCTGGGAGGACTGAAAGATACCTTACGATTCTCGAACCCCATGATGCTCTTTTAATTTTCATGCACAGAGACAAGTCATAGCGCACACACACACATACACACAGCTTTTCCTTCTGAATTCTGTACGTATTTCAAAGTAATTGAAAGCAAATATCAAACCAAAACGACAACTCCAACGCTTTTTATTAACTTCAAACAAAAGTTTCTTCTAAAAGTTGTAATTAGTAAGTCAAATTACATTTTCCACTTTAGGACATGTGGTAAATTAACTTTTAACAATTAAATAATCATAAGTACATGTGGTTAAGGGCATGTGGTCAATCTCACGGACAAAAGCTTCCTCATCTTTGCGTTCGGTTTCATGTTGCTCATTTGGTAGCTCTTCGAATGTTGTATGATAATTCAAAAAGTTATAATCTTAAGATGAATTACAAAGAGAATCCTCTAAAGTTATGCTTGTGTGTGCGTGTATATGTAACTTTTTATATGGCCCGACAATGGGCACTAACAATGGGGAACCTATAGCATAGACGGTACGGAGGCCCAAATTTGTTTCAATTAATAAGGGAAAATGTCTTAATTGTGAATATAATTGGAGCACATCCATTGTTAATTTGGAACAGCATGTCTTGATGTATGTGGCATATATATAAAGATTGCAAAAGCATGGTGTACGTTTAAAGATACAAGTTTCTTTGAGAGAGAGAACATTTTTTTATGTCAAATTTCCATTTTGTTTTATCAGTCAGCCAAAGAGCTCTTTTTTTTAAAACGACGTAGTTGGAAATCCCATTCCCCTCTCTATTTTATCAGGCAGCAAAATATATTTATTTATTTATTTTCAACGATGTCGTTTGGACATCAGGAAAAACAAAAACAAAAGAGCGCTGGCCGCTGTGAACGCGTACAGCAAGATTCTCTCCTCTGGCTGTGGGCTATGGCTGCTTCCTCTTTGGGGCATTTCATCAAACACCTTCTGGGCAATTTGCAGGGGTCAAGCTCTTCAACTCCTATGATGGATTTTGGGTTTGCATGGGTCAATTGACCCCCCTTGCCCCTATGTGGATCCGCCACTGGTTATTGTCTAATTAGGGTATTACACATGTAAAATAAAAATATAAATAAATAAATATACACATAAATTGTTCAGTTTAGTTTAGGTCTGTTTAAAAAAGTTCAAAACTAAATTAAACCAAACCATATACGGTTCGGTTAGATTTTTTTAACCATTTAACTTTCTCTTAGTCAAAACCAAATCAAACAGTAATTACAGTTTGGATCGGCCGATTTCATCAATTCTGCCGAATTGATGCCCACCCTTTACTTCAAGATGTTACGGATTCCCTTTCAATGCACCAAAAAGCCAACATCGTTTAGAGTTTAATCATAAAACTCAAGTTTTTATTATAACCCAGGATTTCTTCTGAACCATTTGAAAACAATGGCAAAAAAATTTGGTACAACCGTACCAGTCCATGGTTAAATCACCAATTTGGCCAATAGTTAATACCTGACCTGGTGCGAAGAAACCAAACGTTTCAATGTTTTCAAAGCCACTTGTGAACTTCAAGTTTATCCCTAGAAATTAGAAGAAGATACCAAATCCGTTGAAACACTACCCGCCAACGTCCCATCTCACCTGAGCCTTCGGTTCTTCAAAGTCTACCATAATTCCGCAGATTTTCAACGTGCCCGTCACTAGTTCGATCAAATTCCCCACCCAGACCAGCGTGCATCGACTGTGTTGATAGCAGGCCACACCCCTTGAATTTTCTTCAACAACCCAACAACTCCAAGCAAACTTATAATTCAATCACATCTTTTTTGGATACTATGAATAATCTTATGTCATTGTTTCCTAGCTAAGACTACAAAGTTGTAGACAACCTGCCAAATACATTTTGTAATGGTAGACAGACGCATGAACAAGCACCAGAAAGATGATCTACCGAGCCTCTATTATTGTAATGGAAGTATTCGCTGAACACCGGCGTGTACTTAAGGGTGATTCAGGGACACTTCGCTCGGTGTAAAAACCAGGCTGTTTCGGTGGAGGCAAGGTAACATCACTGCTCAACATTAGAACCACAGATGACATGCTTGGTCTATCTTCAGGTACTCTTTGCACACATAACAGCGCCACATGAAGACACCTTAACACTTCAGATATGGTGCACGAATCAAGTAATGTCTTATCAATCAGTTCCAATGCTTTATCTTCAATCCATGGTATCCATGCCTTCAAAAATTAAAACACATACGATATGTTATTACGGTGACATGTCATTGAATTGAAAGAGCTTAGAAGATTGCATTGCCTAATTCACTAGTTTCTTCGAAGTAAAATTATAGTACTTTAATGCTTTGTACTAACATGTCCAAGAAGGTTAAGGTGGTGATCTGGATGAGAAAATCCCCTGTTCTTCTTCCTACTCAACATTTCTAGCAGTATAACTCCAAAGCTAAAGACATCAGATTTCATTGAGAAAATTCCATCTACTGCATATTCGGGAGACATGTAACCACTGCACAATCAAATTGCAGTAAGTAAGAATTTCAACAAAAACAAAACAATGTAAAATGTAAACCATACAACAAGTATACTTACTACGTTCCAACTACTCTATTTGTATTGATCACTTCCAAATGTTTTAGCGAGGCCGAAGTCTGAAATCTTAGGGTTCATATTATTATCAAGCAGGATATTGCTAGCTTTCAAATCTCTATGGATAATCCTTAATCTAGAGTCTTGGTGAAGATAAAGAAGCCCTCTAGCAATTCCACCAATGATGTGAAAGCACGTAGGCCAGTCGAGCAATCTTTGTCCTTCTTGATCTGAAGAAAACTTGAGACTGTTAACTCAATGCAACATTGAATCCTTGTATATATAAGATTAAAGGTGAAGCATAGTATGACTTGAAAGCCATATGGTTGGCATCAGAGAGCACCATACCAAAAATAAAGAAGTCCAAGCTTTTTTTGGGCACGAATTCATATATCAAGATTTTTTCCTCTTCTTGAACGCAACAACCCAAGAGCTTTACAAGATTGCGATGCTGAAGTCTTGCTATCAGTTTAACTTCATTTTTGAACTCTATCATTCCTTGCCCAGAATTCTTCGAAAGTCTTTTTACCGCAATTTCTTTCCCTCCGATCAATGTACCCTACGGATCATCATTTATAAAGTCTTAAAACTTGTATCACAGATTAGCTCACTTTAGTTGCATAAATTTATGTTACCTTGTACACAGGTCCAAAACCACCTTCTCCCAGCTTGTTGCTGCTTGAAAAGTCATTGGTGGCTTTAGCTACGGTGCTCAAATCAAATAGTGGTGTTAACTCCATGTCTTCCCTGTCTTCTCCAAGGTAATCTTTTGTGCAATCTATGCTTCTAACTCCTGAAATGACAAGGAGATCTCCTCAGCATGGATAAATAGATGTGTAAGAATTATATTGGTTAATCAATTGGTCAAATCACAATATGCCATGTGTCCCAATTTAATTGATTAAACGCGAAACCCTAAGCCAAATCTTGGAACACAAGAAAATCACACACTATAGAAACAATCTAATGCAAATTTCATAGAAGAGATACTTTTCTCTCTTCCATAAGCTTGGTATTTATAGGGGCTTCGGTGCGTCCCAATTTGGTCGGTCGTCAATTGGCCTTCAAATCAATCATAATTGCTCTAGAATATCTTCAATCCCTTGCCTCATACCTGTGATTTAATATGAATAATATTTTATTTGATTTTCCTTCCATCTTGAGCTCTCCCTCAATAACTTCAATTGACCATCAAGCTGGCATAATTCCTTCCATATTTGAATTGTAACCTATGAAAATCCTCCTACGGATTATCTCTCTCCTTATTTAAGCATTGACTGATTTTATGTATTCGGCCGCTTTTAGTCTTCCGACCGTATCTACATTTTCGGCCGCATATAGGCTTTCAACCACTTTTATGCTCTTGACCACATTGATGTGTTCGGCCACATTGATGTATTCGGCCACATTGATGTATTCCACCACATGTAGATATTCTGCTACATTTATGATTTTGGGCTTCTATCCGGCCTTATTGATTAGGCCCACCGAAATATAGCTTGGGCTCACTATTAGTTTAATTGTCGGATCTCGGGCCTGACCCGGTTAAACTTCAACCAAGCTCAAACA